CCTCCCTCCCTCCCTAACTCCAACCACCCCACCCTCATCATCTCCATTACACTCAACAAACCCCTTACTACTTCTTGACCTTTTTCCCCAACTATCAGGTCAGTAACCAATATGAGCTCTGAGTTTGGCCGTAGAGTCCTGACCTCAGCTCCACCACCCCAGCGACCTTTCCGTGTCTGTAATCACAAGCGGACCACTCGGAAAGGTCTGACAGCTGCCACCCGCCAGGAACTGCTAGAGAAGGTGAGTGAGCCAAGTCCCTGGGTTCTTATCCCAGGGGCAGCCAAGGGGCTCAAGAAGAGTGAGAACTTGGAATGACCAGCAGAAAGGGCTGAGGTTACATGGCTGCCCTTCCCTCTGAGGACTGAAAGCACAGGGGTAAGCCCAATGATCCCTGCTGCATTTTGGTTAATTTTTTCCCCCCCAAGAAATGGGCTTTTCTTTGGAATAGTGGAAGGAGTAGATAGAGAGGGTTGGAGGTATAGAATTTAGAAGTCAGTGTGTAATGGTGATTTGTGTGACAAATCAAATTCAAATCCTAAATCTGCCACTTCCTACTGTCAAACCTTAGGAAGTTATTTAACCTATCAAAATGTCAATGTCTTTCTTTTGAATTTTAGAGGACGTCTATTAAAGATAGGAATGTGAAACAAGAAAGGGCTGGAAAAATGAGCCTAGGCTGGTCTGTTTTGGCTCACTAAGAAGTCAGAGAAAAGGGAGCCTTGGAGACAGGTTCAGGAGGNTATTATTATCACTATTTTCAACTTCTAATTTTCTAAGTTTAAAAAAATCTTTTTTTAAAATTGTTGACACTATTGCAGATGTGTCCCCCATTAACTCTCCTTTGCCTCTCTATACAGCCCCAGGCCTTTACCACATTATTGTCTGTGTTCGTGGGTTACCCATATATGCATATAAGTTCTTAGGTTTCTCTCTCCCCACCCACGCCTTCCCTCTGAGATTCTTCAGTCTGTTCCATGCTTCTGTGTCTCTGGATCTATTTTGTTCATTAGATTCCACATATGAGTAAGATCAAGTGGTAGTTGTCTTTCTCTGGTTTATTTCAATAAGCATAATACTCTCCACATCCCATCATGCTGTCTAAAGGGTAAGGGATCCTTCGTTTTTACAGCTGCGTAGTATTCCATGGTGTAAATGTCCGAGAAGATGCTTGATATGATTTCAGTCTTCTTGAACTTGTAGAGGCTTGTTTTGTGTCCTAACATGTGGTCTATCTTTAAGAATGTCCCATGTACACTTGAGGAGAATGCATATTCTGCAGCTTTGGGGTGAAATGTTCTGTAAATGTCAATTAAATCCATCTGATCTAGTATGTCACTTAGAGTCACTGTCTCCTTGTCGATTTTTTGTCTGGAAGATCTATCCAGTAAAGTCAGTGGGGTGTTAAAGTCCCCTGCTGTGACTGTATTGCTGTCAATCTCTCCTTTAAAGTCCTCCAGAAGTTTGTTTTTTCAGCCTGTGTATTTGGTTCTGAGGTGGGTCTCTTGTAGTCAGCATACATTTGGGTCATGTTTTCTCATCCATTCAGCTACCCTATGTCCTTTGATTGGAGCACTTAATTGGAGCATTTGTATTTAAGGTTATTATGGATAGGTACTTATTTATTGCCATTTTATTTCTTTATGCCTATATTTCTCATTCTCTCTATTTCAACTTCTTATTACAGCAGTCCCTTTAACATTCTTGCAATCAATGCTGGTTTGGTGGTGATAAACTCTTTTAAACTTTTTTTTTTTTTTTTTTTTAATCTGGGAAGGTCTTTATTTCACCATCTATTTTGAATGATAGCCTTGCTGGATAGAGTATTCCTGGTTTCAGATCCTTGTTTTGCATTACCTTTAATACTTCATGCCATTCCCTTCTGGCCTATAGTTTCTGATGAGAAATCAGCTGACAACCTCATGGGGGCTCCTTTGTAGGTAACAGATTGCATTTCTCTTGCTGCCTTTAAGATTCTTTGTCCTGAATTTTTGGTACTTTAATTATTATGTGCCTGGGTGTGGGCCTCTTTGGGTTCTTCTTGTTTGGGACTCTCTATGTCTCCTGTACTTGTGTGACTTTTCCCTTGACCAGGTTAGGGAAGTTTTCTGCCATTGTTTCTTCAAACAGGTTCTCTAACCCTTGCTTACTTTCTAGATCTTCTGGCACACCTATGATGTGAATATTGTTACATTCATGTTGTCCCACAGCTCCCTTAGACTGTCCTCCTGTTTTTTGTTTTTTCTTTTTGGTTTTCTGATTGGTATTCTCTACCCTGTCTTCTAATTCACTAATCCTCAACTTCCCCTAATCTGTTTATTCCTTCCAATGTTTTTTTATTATTATTTCTATATCATTAATTTCCTTCAGTTTCCATTTCTTTTCTCATGCTGTTGAGCATCCTTATGATCAGTATTCTGAACTCTGTATCTGATAGATTGCTTATCTCCATTAGCTCTTCTTCTGGAGAATTCTTTTGTTCTTTCATTTGGGGCTTGTTTTTTTGTCTCCCTGTTTTGGTCGCCTATTTGGATTTGAGTGTTGACCTATGAACCAGAAGGTCATGGTTCGATTCTTGGTCAGGGCACATGCCTGGTTTTGGGCTAGATCCTCAGCAGGGGGTGTGCAGGAGGCAGCCGATCAATGACTCTCATCATTGATGTTTCTATCTTTCTTTCCCTTTCCCTTCCTCTCTGAAATCAATAAAAACATTTTAAAAAATAAATATTTCTATGTATTATTTAGATCTGCTAGGACTCCCAGTCTTTTGGATGGTGCAGGCCAATTTCAGATGGTTTTGTGACTGGCCTTGAGTACCGTTTGAAGTTTTCTGCACTCCACAGCTTGTGCTTTCCTCTGCTGGGGCTGGGTGTGTTTTGAGACTTATTCTCTTAACTTCATCTATCCTTGGGTGTGGTTGGCAAGTGGCACTAATTGGATTTCTGCTACCTGTCTCCCTAAGTAGGGTGACTTAAGCTATTTACCCTCTGGTTGGGGAGAAGTCAAAATATCAATTTATCTATGAAAAAGGAATAATAATGCACTTCCTTGGGTTGTTGAAAGAAGTAAAAGAGGATAATGTATGTAAAGTGCTACATAGATACCTGGCACTAGTAAAGACTCAAAAAGGTGGTCATTATTACTGAAAATGGTTCTAGAGAATTCTGTGAGAGTGGGAAAGAGCAAGGTGGGATATTAGAGATAAGATTCCATTGTGTCAGGCCCTGTCAGAATAATACCTTACACCCCTAGCCTATGCCCATTACCAAAGGATGGACTTCAAGAGAACCTGGCTAACTTTTCAATTCCAAACCAGGAGTGGCTCAGAGGGAAGCAGGGCAAGATAACAATGACATGGTAGGAGCAAAGCAGGAGCAAATAGGGAAAAAGGTCAGCTTCTGGGGAGGGTCCCCCAATGAAAGAACACTGAGAGCTGGAGCCACTTGAAGTGATGGCAAAGCACCAGGAAGTAGAGTTGGTATATCAACCAGTGTCTTGGGCCAACCAATGGATGCTGGGCAGCTGGAGAGGAAAGGAGCATGAGACAAGCTCTGCCATTTCCCTCCTGCTTCTTGCCACTGGGTAGGCACAGGAGACCCTGCTGCTGAGTGGAGTGCTGACCCTGGTGCTAGAGGAGGATGGGACTGCCGTCGAGAGCGAAGACTTCTTCCAGCTGTTGGAAGATGACACATGCCTGATGGTGCTGGAGCTTGGGCAGAGCTGGAGTCCCATCAGGGTGAGAGGCCTGTACTGGGGCTGCTAAAGGTCACCAATCCTTTATATCTCTCCCAAGCTTCTCCTCTTCCCTAACTCTCGCCTTGGGGGCAGAGGTGATGAGAAAAGTAAGGAATTTTTAAGGATACCTTATAGTGGACTAACAGTCCAGGCAAGGGTAGGTCTGTCCCATTATTGATGGGGATTAATGGTGGGTGTAAGCGAGGGTGCACTGCACTAATGGGGGTGTCCTACAGAGTGGGATGCTGTCATATGGCCTGGGCCGGGAGAAGCCCAAGCACAGCAAGGACATTGCTCGCATCACCTTTGACGTGTACAAGCAAAACCCTCGAGACCTCTTTGGGAGTCTGAACATCAAAGCCACATTCTACGGGCTCTACTCCATGAGCTGTGACATTCAAGGACTTGGCCCAAAGAAACTACTCAGGTCAGAGACCAAAATGTTTTACTTCCCCAACCCTACCGTTGCAGTCCCATAATTCCTTCTGCTGCACTCACCTAACCCATTATTAGTTTTCCCTTATGGAGAGCTCCCAGCCCCCAGCTCTATGGCTTCCTCCTAACTATCTGACTGTCTCTTGTCTCTGCCCTTCAGGGAGTTCCTCCGATGGACCTCCACACTGCTGCAAGGCCTCGGCCATATGTTGCTGGGAATTTCCTCTACCATTCGCCATGTAGTGGAAGGGGCTACACAGTGGCAGCAACAGGGTCACCTTCATCCCTACTGAGAAGGGGCTCGGAGCTTCTGCCCCTAGACTCATTCTAACAGATGGCAGTAACGACTGTGACATCATCAGGTTTGGGGACCTGTAGACAGTTTCCCCACTGTCTTCTGACCCCATCAGCATAATGCCTTACACCCCTAGCCTATACCCATTCCTGAAGAATGCTGTCCCTTCCTAGCTATCTTTTCAGCCTCCCACCTACCCTGAAAGGCCACAAGCTTGTCCTAAGCATCTTGATACCATCCTGAATGCTGCAAACTCTAGATGTTCCTGCAACTCCTCCTTTCCCTGAGCTCCCCAGTGCACTGAAGATAGCTCTCTTGGGCTTTACCTTGAGATCTCTATGTCTTCATAATCTTCCCCCCAAGAATAAGACATTTCCAATAAAAATATAAAAATGTTTACCAATAAGACTTTTGACTTCAATGATTCCAATTTAAATTAGTAAGGGGACAGGATAGACACACCCTTTTCTCCTTCCCCATCAACACTCAGTCCCAGATCCCAAGGCCTCAGTCTTCAAGAATTGAGTTCAAAACCCGCCTCCGTTTGGCCACCGCCCCCTGCTGCTGTTCCCAAGCCTCTCGACGCTTCAGGAAGGTAGTCAGGGCCACATTTCGAGCCACATGGTGGCCAAAGGGGTCTTTTATCAGCTCCTGGTTCCGCTCTCCTGCAAAGGGAACCATTCATGTTCAGTATCAGCATGCAGTCACCACCCATGCTTGAAGAGACTCTATTTGCAGTGAAGGTCCCTCCATTTTCCCTGGACCCTAGGCATGCCTTGGGATAGAATTAACCCCTCACTCTCCAAAGAACAAGTTGGGAGGAGGGTTGGGAACACAGGGCTGCACAATCAACACAGGGAAAAGGGAGAGCAGACTGCTAAGCACCATGGCCAAATCACCCTTTGGAACTGCTGAACTTAATTTTTTTCTTAAATATGTCTTTAGTGATTTCAGAGAGAGGAAAGGAAAGGGAGAGAGATAGAAACATCAGTGATGAGAGAGTCATTGACTGGCTGCCTCCTGCACACCTCACACTGGGGATCGAGCCCGCCACCCACGTATGTGCCCTGACTGGGAATCGAACCACAATCGCCTGGATTGTAGGTTGATGCTCAACTGCTGAGCCTTGCCAGCCAGGCTCTGCTGAATTTAAATCCATCCCCCAGCCACCCAGCCACTTGGAGTAAGGAAAGGGAAAGTTTGGAAAGGTGAAAAAGACCTGCTGGTACTCACCCAGCTCAGCAGCAATTTCCTTCCGGGCCCCCAAGGCTGCTCCACCCCAGATGGCATCTAATACACGGCTGCCATGGCGACTGCAAGCCAGAGCCACATATTGTCCCTGCATTGAGACAAGCAAGATAGGTCCCTCTAGGGCAGTCCATGAAAATGTGTTGGGGAGGGCAGAAGGGAGTAGAGTTTCAGTTCAGACACTGAGTCAAAAGAGTCTAGGAAAGGCAGTCCTAGAGGAAGCTCGTGTTCTCTAAATGGATAGAGGAATCAAAGCAGAAGCCAGAAGTCTAACCTTTAGGGTCTTGAGCACATGGCGGCGCTGCTTGCGTGTCACAGAAGGGCTGGTTAGGACGGCATCAAGCACATGGGAACCAGCAGGACTTTGGGCCAGAGTCAGAAGTTGTGGTCCCGTCAAGACACCCAGACTTCGAAGTATAAGGCCAGGAGTGGAGAAGTACAGCAGATGCTGGAGCAGTAGAGATCCGAGGACTGTCACTTCCCCCAGGGCCCTGGCTGTGGCCATTTCAACCTGTGGCCAGAGACAGAAAATCAGGAGGCAGCCACGAAACTGCCATCTCCACTTGGATGAAGCCAGAGATCTCTCCACCCTCACCTCAGTGGTGAGAGGTTTCCTAAGCTCAGGGAAGCCTGGTCCCCAATCAGTTATTGGCTTGGCCTCTCCCCTGCCTCACCTGGTGCTCCGCAGGCACTGCCCCTTCCTCTTCCACCAGTCCATAGTACACCTCATAAGCCATCAAAGTGGCAAAGAGAGGCACACAGGCCACTTGCCGGGAAGAGGGCTCTGCACAGTGGAATGCCTAGATGAGAAGACAAAACATAATAAATCTGAGAACCGACTTTAACCCCAAATTTCCAGACAAGGGAATACATTCAGGACTGGTGAGATGCCTAACTCCACAAGAATGTAAGCTGCATGAGGACAGGATTTCATCTGCCTTGCTGTATCCCCAGCCTCTATACATGTAATGGGTCAATAAATGTTTATTCCTTAAATAAACACCTCTGTTCTGGGAGACAATTTTCATCCTAGGGCTATGAGATGGCTTTGACCTAATTTTCCTGTTATCTATGAACTCTCTGGGCATTAAATCTCTTGGCTCCAGAGATACAATGACTAAAGATTTGGTAAGTTCTAAGAGATAGAATTGAACCAAGGGCATAAACAGGTTGCAGGTAACACCCACTCACCTCTAACAACAGCTGCAGGACCTGGGCTTGGTGGGTCCCAACTCTGCGGCAGGCTCCCACCAGGGCAATGACTACCCCTGGGTGACCCTGTGCCAGTACAGCTTCCAGGGCAGGGCTCAGCTCCTCAAACACAGGGGACAGCTGAGGGGAGACACGGGGTAAAGAATCCTTGGCATTCTGATAACTGTGGGCTAAGTTATTCAAGAAATCTGTCAGAAACAACTAAAAATGTTAGATAAGACACAAAAGCATTGCCAATATCAGGACTTTGATTTTACTGGGTAAGAAAAGTCCAGGACAAGTGGGCAGTCTTACAGCAGCTGCCTCACATGGGGAGGGGACTTTAAATGACTATACTCTTAGGGTAAAGGAGAACCAGAATCAAACCTGTCCTTCCACCCTAACTCCCAACCCATGAGATCCCATGGAAGCATGCCCTGATGTTAAGCAGCAAAGGAAAAGAGCGCTCATTTGGATATATAGCGAAGTACCCAGTCTGAGTGGGCCATGGAACCTCAAGCTGCTAACTTGGATTAAGCCACTCTCCTGCTGGTATTGGCATTTGAGAGAAGCCAAAGCAAATCCTTTCTGGGAAGAAGGTACCTTCACTCTGTGCACTGGGAAACCCCCAGGAATAACTTTTCAAGGGGAATAGCCAGCACACAGTCAGAGAAACAGAGGCAGGCACATCATAAAATAAGGCCCAGTGAACAAGAACAAGTAGAAACAACAGCATACAGAAACAGACTCAGCCAAATTCCCAACTCACCAGCTCAGAGGTAGTGATAGCATCTAATAAACGCTGCAAAGGGAAGTTGGCAATAGGATGTGCAGCCAGGGTCTGCAGCTGCCCTTGGAAGTGATCTTCAAAAAGGCTCTGGAGCTTCAGGGGCTCCAAAACCAACAGCACCTGCTCCAGCAGTCTGGAGCTCGTTTGATCCCGCAGAAACAGCAGTAGAGGGCTGGAGACCAGGAGAAGGTAGTTTTAATCCCACTCTATCCAAAATACCTACACACCTCATTTATTTCACACAGCCCCATCAACCCTGGTCAATCCTGAGGCACTGACCATACCTGCCATCTGCTGAGGAATTACGGTTACTCAGAAAATCAATCACAGCATCACAGAGGTGGGCACAAAACTGGGGCAGTTTTCGGTGTAAGATCTGTAAGGCCACTTGAAAGCAAAAACTGGAGATCTTATCGGTGATAAACACTGTGGGGAGAGAGCAGAAATAATAAAAGCAGCTGTCTCAAAATCCAGATGACCTGTTCAACTTCAAACAAGTTACAAGGGACAAAGGGTCTGTAGGTTTGAAAAGAAGACTGATCCTAAATAAGGGCCTTGTTTGAAGATAATGACCTCCAAAAAAATATATCCTAGAACCTCCTCCTATTTCCCTCCTTACCAGCAATGTCCTTTAGAAAGCAGGAGCTCAGGTCCTGAAGATGATTCAAGAAGGATTCAGGAACCTCGAAATCAGTTGGTTTACATTCCCGAGCTGGAGCCCTTTGTGCCTCTGAAGGAAGATGAAGAATGTGTGCAGTGGTGAGATCACAAACCACCATCCAGGAGGGAGAAGAATTCTGTAGATCAGCGATTTTCAGCCTTTTCCATCTCATGGCACATAAACTAATTACTAAAATTCTGTGGCACACCAAAAAATATTTTTTTGCCGATCTGACAAAAAAATAGGTATAATTTTGATTCATTCACACTGGACGGCCATTGTTGTGTTAGGTGCTGTCATTTTTTTATTTGACGATCTAAAGGAAAAGAGGTCAGTGCCCCTGACTAAATAGTCAGGTATCACATATTTTAAAATTCTTGGGGCACACCAGTGTATCACAGCACACCAGGTGAAAATCACTGGCAAAGATGAACAAGGATTCAGCTTAGAGATGCAGAACACAACTGAATATCTCTTCTCATCTAGATCACTAAATTTAGACTACATTTCTGTTTTAAGTTTTCTAAGAAACTTCAACCAGCTCTCCCATTGTCCATGGGAGATAGTCCAAACTCCTCAGCCAGAAATTCAAGATGTTCCAAAATCAGGCCTTAACTAAATTCTCTAACCTTATTTCCCAGAGTTTTTAAAAATTAGGCCACTGCCTATGAGTGCATCATGAAATCAATTTAGTGGGTCTCAACCAGTACCTTTTTAGTGGAAGAGGACTGAATAATAAAGGAAAGAAAATATTAGAGTGGTTTGCATGTAGTAAGAGTATTATTCCTGATCTTTTGCTTGAATCCAGTATATGTATAAATACAAATGTACACTGAGTCATGTTTAGCTTTCCCTAAACACACCTTACCTCTGGGCCTCTGTGCATAGTAATCTTTGGCTAAGCCCTGTCCTGATTTCCCTGTTAATTCTTCAGGTTCATGAAGAATTACTCTTCTGCTAACTCCCTCCTTCTGAACTTCCTATACTCTCCTTTCCTCTAGGTCCACTTCCCTCTCTTGTAATACTTACCAGGTGACTGGGAGCCACGGTGTCTGGCTCTCTCAGACTCCAGAAGAGTCCCTCCTAACACCTGCAGCAGAGTTCTGACCACGAAGCTGCCATGTGTGTCTCCACAGTAGAAAAGAAAATCATCACACACCTCAGAGGACAGTCCCAGGACCAGCTCCTCCAGGGTCTCCAGGGGACGATCCTTCCCATCCTCCTCCACCTCCTCATCCTCCATAGGGCTCCCCAACAATCGAGGAAGCTGCAGCAAAGCACTTTGCAATACGTGGACCCCGCATCGATGACAGGCCACAGAGCGCAAGTTGGAGCGCAGAGCAGCCAATACTCGACACAGAGGTTTCAGGGGACTGAACCCCAACAGTTCCTGCAGCATCTCACTGCCAGTCCTGTTTGTGGCCAAGGCGAGGGCCTGCGCCTCCGCTTCCTTCAAAACATTGTGCACCATCAGCTCTGGAAAGACAAGGAAAGAAATATTACAAGGAGACTAGGAGGAGGATAAGGTTATGTTCCAGCACTTAACCAAATGGCTGGGAGTGAGGACAAGGATACGGAAGATGAAACTAAATCCCCACGCCTTGGGAACCCACGAAAATGATCTTGCTTGTACTGAATTTTACGTCCACCAAATACCTCTCTTCGTCTCACCCAGAAGATCCCCCCTACCTCGTTCTTCGCCGGTCTCCGGGGCCTCTTTCAGCGCCGACAGCGCCCGGCGGAAATACCCCAGCGCTTCGGGGCTCAGGTGAGGGTGCGCTTCTAGGGCCGGCTGCGAGCGCCCGTCCCGAGGCGGGCAGACTTGTCGCTGGCGGCCTGATGAGGGGCGCCCCGACCCCTTGGCGCCGCGCCCTCGTTTGCCGCCAGCTGGGAACCGGCGCCCGGCTTTATGGAGGGCGCGCGGACCCAGCCCCATGGGTGCTGCCGTCGCTCTCAGCCCGCGAAAGGTGCCTCAGCTGGAGCCCGCGCGCACTTAGCCAGGCGTGGGCCGGCTCCCAGCGGAGTTTAGAGACG